GAGTTGCCGCTGATGAGTTAGTGCCGACTGCGATAGAGTGAGGAGCCTCGGCAATGATCCGAAGATTTTCCGGCGCCATTTCGCTATTTCTCGGGCCATGAATGTCGGAACCAGGCCATTGGGCGCTGAACTATTGGCAATCGGTGCTAAATCGAAGCAGAGGAAGGCTCGCGCCGAGTGTTGTCCGACGCTCGGATTTTGGGGATCGTCGGAGCTGTCAATGTTCGCACGAGTTGCATTCAGTGTTTTTATTGTTTGTCCAAAACATCATCTTACGGACATATTCGATTTAGGAGAAATAGCGCTACGAAACGAGACGGCGTATCTTTTTGCTAGGGTGAACTGATCGTTATTGTGTATGCGGAACTTCGTCAAACGTGCATTCTTCGGAGAATGCATTGTAACGCTACACCGTATACGTCATCTGTCGATGATTGCCACTTACAGAAGCAAACACCATCCGTGACCACCAAGGAATGTAAATTCGATTAAGCTATGTTTAATTCATAGCCTTCTAGATGGAGTTACGTGACCGGCATGCCAACTGTGGCTCCCAGTCCCTCGGAATCGACATTCCTGGGATTCAGGATTTGACTGGTGCCGAATGGCACAGCGCTCCGGTGGCAGCTCAACTGTGATGAGCACAGAGGCGGTAATGAGTTCACGGAACGTCGATCGAGGAGCACACGTGTCGGGTGTGGGTGTTGGAGAGGGGGGATTGTGGCTCTCAGCTGTAGGGTAACGCATCATTTATATTGTGACATGGCACGTTGCTGCGGCAGTTGCCCTACTTGTTCGATCGTATAAAAACACATTATTTCGACGAGCCCAACAGCATCTGCAGTTTTTCAAGATATGAAGAAACGAGTTCACATGTGTGAATAAAAAATAACAGCCATTGCGAAGCATATGTTGGATATCTTTTCCTAAAGAATTCGTTAATTTTAGACGATATTTTCTGAAATTGGTCCACTCTGTTTGACTTGACGCACAATGCCACCCACTGATCGTAAAATATTGCCGCCTTTAACAACCCTACCATATTGGGTGTGCTTGGTTCGATTTGTTATTTTTGTTTCCATATTTCACTATAACAAAATATTTAATCAAACCACCCGCGACTATTCTCACCACCGACCCATCCGTTGTGGCTGCACTCGACACATTATGCGTCATCGGCACCGGGTGGCCCGTCCAACCGTCCATACGGCAGCCTTCACTCAGCCGAGGCCAACCGGCGCCAGATTGCAGTGCGGAGTTTGACAGATTTGCGACCGTCGCGGGGTGCCTGTCGTCGGCGATATTCACAGCTCCGCGGTCCGGCTCCAGACCGCAGTCTGCAGAGGCGGCCGTGGTTTCGTCCTGGCTCCACATTTCAATACTGAGCTAAATGGAATGGGAGCCTGAGTAAACTGCGCCGCTTGAGTATTGGGATGTCTGAAATGACAATGTATGGCGTTGTGTCAGTGCAGGCTCTAACTGGTAATGCAACAGGGTTTACATACTTTCAGGAAATTGTTTATTATCAATGTGTGGTGAAATGTATCATCACTGCAAAAAGAAAAAAATCATGAAAGAATAGCAACCGATCAATTCTTGTTTTATGGTTAACCAGCTCCAGAAAATCAGAACGATTCCCTGACATTAACTGTCTCTTATTTCACTATCATGCCTCTATAATACACTCTACCTTTTCAAAGTAATCCACCCAGCTAGTCTTCTCTAACATCCTCCGACCATCGGAGGGCCAGTTAACCGGAGTCGGCCCATCCCGATCCACCGAGCGCGGGCCGCCGTGAGACCAGGATCGGCCCGTGCCGGTCGGTCGGACCTTGAGCCATTTCCGAGCCGGGCTTCGGCCAGACGGAGATAAATCCGCTCAGTCAGAACCGTATAAATCGCTGTCCGAGACGGCCGGCCGCCGGCGCTGTCCGGCCGTGCGGGCTGCGCCTGTCCGCGGGACGCGTCACCGGCCGACAGACTGCCGAGCCGCGCCGGGAAAGGTAGCCCCGGGTCGACCTGCAAGGTGTGGTGGGTTTAGTCCTTTGAGGATGCAGTCCAATGATGCCTGACAACTCCCAGAATGCTTGTCATCATATGGCTAGAGGCATCCAGGTGTGTTCTTTGCTACTGGACCTCCCAACGGTCACCTATCTCGTCTCTTTTATTTAATAAATCTAGGTACTGCGCAAATAAACTTCGACAAATTATAATTTAACCTCGCTTAACCCGGCAGTTGCTGGGGTATTTCGCCACCCACCGTTTGCTGGGGGGTGGGGGGGGGGGCGTTAAACGCCCCCAGCCGATGACTCGAGAACCAATAGGCGCAGCGAAACGCACGAGGCGGCAAACGAAAGAACGCGACGAGACGCTTCAGATGAGTACTTTAAAGTTGAATTTTGCGGTCACAGGTCGGGTCAAGATCAGGTCAAACACCTGAAATCGGGCTTTCAGTAGCATGGACTTCAGGACTTCGCAATGGGCGCCTCTCGTCATAAACTCTGTCAAAACGGTGCACAATCCATCATATAAGGCCTACAAGAGTGTCAGCTCCATGTAGGGGTCAGTCAAGCATAGGTCAGGGTCAAGGTCAGGTCAACCGGGTAGGCACATATCCCCGAAAATCAAACTGATATTCACAGCCTACATGTTTTATGGGTAATTTGGGGTGTAGAACACATTGGTGACATTCATTTTATCATATGTGTACGTATTTGGCTAAAAAAGTTCAATTTAAGAAATGCATGTATCATGGTCGTGAAGTAGTCACGAAAAATTGTCAAGATTCAGTTCAAGATTTTGGAAAATGCGGAACGATAATCAATAATCGAAGATAGCCATTTGATTGCTCATGGTATTGGCAGTCTAATGGTGTTTACGGCATGTATGTCTATTCTGTGATTTTATATGATTTTTTTGAACATATGCCGTTTTTGGTCGAAAACTCAGAAATCATGACGTCACTAAAACCCCGATATCTCAAAAAGTTTCCGACCGATTTTTTTTAAAAACTTTGTCACAATAAACTTCAATTAATTCCCTACAGGCACCCAAAATTTGGCGCGCCTGCGGCGCGCCGTTTTTATGTTATGGCCCGGCGAAACAGTGGGGGCGTTTAACGCCCCCGGCCACCCCCCCCCCCCAGCAACTCGCGGGTTAAGAACCTCAAATGGCCTCACTGTTTTTATACTTATCTTATCCTTACCAAAAACCAGCAAAAGAACTAACAACCTAGTCATTTAACTTCAGCTGATATGAAACTGGAATGGAGCATTTGGATGCGCTCGATATGATATCCGAAAACCAAGTGCTTTTACCACAACACTCGTCATTTCTGGTGATTTCCAACCCATTGTCATCCGGACTCTGTGGCAGACCAAAACCATTACCAGCCGTGACACTGCGAGCTGTTGTATTTATGGATGGGTTGAGCTGCTGACAAGGGGACGATCCTATTGTGTGGCAATGGTCGGCCGTTTTCCCGGAGTCGAATTTACGCGAACGGGACCGCGCCGGCCGGCAGGCAGCAGAGTTTGAGTGTTGCGGCGCAGTATCATTCAGGCGCTCTAACCACAGAGCCATCTGTCGGACAGTCTGAGAACTACGCCTCCCACAGCTGTGGGGCCGGGCGGGCGAATGTTGCGGCGCAGTACCATTCAGGCGCTCTACCCGCAGAGCCATCGTCAGCAAGTCTGAGAACTACCCCTCTACGGCAGTGGGGCCCCGTAGTATAACTCGCAGCCTATTACATTCGAACTGCTCATGTCTCCAGCCGGGCGTATGAAGTCTCCACGAGTCAGACACCCTCTGGTTGGCACGCCGGTCGGCTCTGGTGCAATATAACCGCGTTACCGCCCGGGCGACGGCGCCGTTCCGCGGCGAGCGGCCTCTGAGTCCACTGTTCAGTGTCGGCTGAATTCTGACACCGCCGGCAGCATGGTCAACCGCCCGGCCTTTGTGCCGCCAGCCAGTCCGTCATGGGGCCTTTGAGCCGAAGATCAAAGGCAGATGTGGCGCCGGGGGTCTAGCTTCACGCCGCTTGACTATGAGCGCAATGTTGAGAGGCGGGCTCAACTATGGCTCCATTATACTAGGAATGCCTTGATATGAAGCTCGCGCGATATTCGGTCTGATTGTGGAATGACTGGAGGTCAGGAGACGGCTCCACTGATGCCTTGTGGAGTTCATAACCAGTAAAGGTTAGATGTCGCATAGAAGCTGCAATATGCGGCACAGGCCAGTACTATGAAAGCACACAGCGCATTGCACTTCTACAGCATCAAGTGCCCCATATGCGTATGGGCAGTAAAGTTGGGCGGGCACACCTTACAGTAATCGTGTGCCTTTTCATATTTCACCATTGTATGTACATATGTTGCTGTTCGAGTGTCCACGAATGGTACCGTTCTCAACATCGTCCTACGTTCGAGGCCACCGACCTGAATCCGCACAGTGTGCTGCTCCTTTACCACCGTCCTTCTGTGTCCGCCAAGCTCTCACTGACTGTGCCCGGTGTGCACAGAAGCAGCCAATCTCCCTGTCCGCCTCCTGTCTCCGAGGGCGCTTCTCTCACTCTCCCCTGTTCTCTATGTCCGGGATCTGTCTCTCTTTCTACCTCTCCTGTTCTCTGTGTCCGGATCTGTCTCTCTCTCTCAGTCTCTCGTGTCTTGTGTCCTCAGTGATCGCCTGTCTCACTCTCCAGTGTCCTGTGGCCTTAGTAACCGCTTCTCACACTCTCCCAGCTGTTCTCTGCGTCCACAGAGGATGTCTCTCTCACCTTCATGTTCTCTGTGCCCGGAGCCGTCTCTCTCACTCTCTTCTGTTCTTGTGTCCTCAGCGACCGTCTCTCTCAATGTCTCCTGTGTATCCACTGTGTGCACCCTCTGTGTGTCTACAAAGGGTGCCTCTCTCGCCTTCCCGTGTCCTCAGTGAGCGTCTCTCTCACTCTCTCCTGTTCTCTGTGTTCGCTACTTCTCTCACTCTATTCTCTGTGTCCTCAGAGGGAGCACCTGGCGCCGAGATCGGCCGTCGCCACTGGTGCGTCGTCTGTATGATTCTCCTCGTAGTGGCCGCCACCGGCCTCATCAGCGTACCCCTGCTGCTGCGAGACATGGCACGCGGCTCCGCCCAGCACCGGCTCCAGATCGCCAGGAAGATACTCGCCCAAGTGCCTCTGATCGACGGGTGAGTGTGACCCCCAAGGCTATAGAACTCCGCGCTCACCGTTTACCGGAAGATTAGCGCACCACCGCTTCTTCCGTAAAGTGCTGTATTAACTCTTTTTCGGAATCGGATCGGTGAACGAATTTTGTTTGTTCGACCGGAGAATTACCTAGTTGATTTTGTTTTCAAGCGGACGTTGATTCCCTGGAGTATTTGCGCCGCGCATTGGATACGTGGAGGACCAGAATAGAGCTGCGACTAGCGGTCGGGTAGAAATTATTCGCTTTGGTTGAGCATCGATCCTCGACACACCCTTGCGGTCGCGGATCAGTGCTCCGTGATAAATTATTCAATAGAATCGTCAAAATGACTGCGCGTTAGCCGGCCTCAGATCCCGGTTCCATTTCGCGTGTCCGGAAGGACGGGAGATGGAGACTCTCCTGTGAAGTACGGAGACACGTCAGGAACGTTCCGGGGGACCGCCGTGAACCTGACTACTGAATCTCTGAAAAGCGGTCCACCTGACATCTGATAGCTGCAAAGAAAGACGACCTGAAGTTACCGGAGAGCTCAGATTACCTCGGGACTTAGTGGATTACTGTGCACGGTTAGAATAATTATTCGCAATTTTGGCTAAAGTTACTCCACCACACATCTTGGGCGGGGTCAAAATCAGGTAACTATAACAGCGTACAGACAATGCCTTCTAATTATTCTTATATGCAGTCGGATATGCATCAAACACGTAATAGTCACATATGGTGGCATTTCATTGCCACCATCGCTAGCATGAAGGTGACTCTGATTAGCATCATCTTCTTGGTGTGATGATGGTGATTTTCATCATCTTTACCTCCATCATTCATATAGCATTAAAGAATGAGCAGCAGCACCGGTATACATAAAAAACATTTAATAACCGTCACATAGCGCACAAATAGCAAGCTACTGCAATACCTTCTTTGTTCTCTGCCGTATGCTTTAATGAGAAACAGAGCCCTTAGAAGCGCTTCGGGGCACGGTAGCCACCAAGTAAACACGTGGTTCTTGTGGTTCTTGAACTTACTGCGGCTTCCGACCGAGAATAGGCCCGTAAATGTGTCGAATGAAACTCAGGGTAGATAAACTTTGGCAAATAACTTCCAGAAAGACCCTCGGCGTACTTGTGAAACCACAGCTCTCCTCTGGTCTTACCTAGACTGCATTCAAATTAGAGGCCGTGCGAAAAGAAACAATAGTGTTCGAAATGCTCTAAGAAAAAATAAAAAATCATATTTTCTGGACTTACATATCAGATAGCAAGGATCTGAGAAGACCAGAATCTGAATAAACATTACTTAAAAACGAAATTGTCACTATAACTATTAAACGTTTCGAGCCTCTTATATTCGTCACTTCTGTATCAAATGCAAGCTGTATTCTACATGCACTTTCGGTCGCTCACCCACGTCTAAAGCGTTTGGTCAACACGGCAACTCATTTCTATTCATCCTCACTTGCCGGAGGAAATTGCACTGCAAATAAACAGCGTCGTGAACTGCAGCTAGAACACATCTGGCGCCTCTCTCTCTCTCTCTCTCTCTCTCTCTCTCTCTCTCTCTCTCTCTCTCTCTCTCTCTCTCTCTCTCTCGGACGCAGAAGCACTTGTCACAACTGCAAGCTATGCAAACGGGCCGCCTCGCTCGATAGAATGAAGTCGCGCCAGGGAGTGGCGCTGCTCAGAATATGGCACAAATAGATGATATTTATCAGCTAGGCGCTCCATTCGACCTGAGAGGATGATTTCACCCGGTGTGGACTCCACCTCCTTCTTCCCGCGCCCTATGACCTTCCATTGAGACCCGCGCCAGTTCCAGCCAAGGATCGGCAGGAGCTTGGAGATATTTTCCGGCATCCATCCATGGCTCCATGATACAGTCTGGCGGCACGGAGGTCTGGTGAAATTTACAACAGCACCATGTTTCTGAAGGACGCTCCCCGGCAGGATCTCATGTCTCGTGAAGGGCTACCGCGCGCCTGTTGAGCGGCCCGGGGTCACGGCCTGGTCCGCGGGGGCGGACGTTCCCTGGGGTGTACCGTACCTAATTGCTACCAGTTGTAAGTGAGAGCCGGGAGCAATTGGATTGGCTGCCGTCCCGCAGTTGGTCGAGGGAGGACGGGGAGGGAGGGGAGAAAGAAAGTCGGCCCCGCAGCGAGACTTCTGATGAGACCGATCAACAAAACGGAGATGGAAACACGCAGCCTTGCGTACTGTCACGGCTTTTTGAGGTGCACTTGCGTACGTAAATTGTAGATACGATGCGTAAGTACAAGAATATTAGCGCTCATCCTCACGCAACGCTAATTAGCAGCCATCAGTAGGTATTCAGTAATGACATTGTCTTGCCAAGAATAGCTACCTATTACAGATCGCAGCAATAAAGCGCAACGCAGCGTCCGCGTAGAAATTAGTATGAGTGATTACCTCGACGCAAAACAATTTATCGCTAATGCATGCCTCCGCGAATCTCTCAGAAATGATGAGTCTCTCTGCGAGCATCTGTAAGTGCGTAGTTTGCCTGTGAATGTGTGCGTTGGACTTACAAGTGCTTACATTACTATTGACCAGATAACTACCAAGTTGCGTGGGATTCGTCACTCCCCAGCGTCATATGTTAAAAAAAAAATAGTCGTTCACAGGGATTCCTGGATTTCCTCGTACTCTCAGAAGGGAAATGTTCCGAAAAATCCCAGAGTACACTACCTTTAGGGCCCTCATGTAAGTTTATACAACCTATTGGGCACGGTAATAAGGTCGACGAACAGAATAGCGGATCATTGCATAAATACACTCACCAGTGCGTTTTTTATCATTGCTTGTTTATCAAATACTGGTGGGTCTGTATCAGTGACGGCGGAACACATCGAACTTTTCCGGGCTACATGCATTGCCACAACGGCAACAACAACATAAACAACATCAGCCACAGTAACAACATCAATAACAACACCGATAACAAAAACCCAAGCCGCACCAGCACATGGGTAAACAAACTGGAAACGAGCCCTGATTGAATTCCAATTTCGAGTCGAGAATTCCAATCGGGGACCGCCAAACGGCGGGTGGCGCGGACGCCGCGGGTCCAGCGCGGCGGCTCTGTATCGATTCGCCACCCCCGCTGCCGCAGGCCGGCCAGCTCGGCGCGGAAGTTGACTGGAGAACCAACCGATTGTCCGGCAGATAGTACGCACCAATCTGCTAGCGCCCCGACTCTATCCAAAGGTTGTGGGGGTGGCGGAGACGGCGAGGGCGTGGCGGCGGTGGAGGGGGCGAAGGCGGTGGCGGATGGGGCGAGGCAGCGGGGGCGTTGGTAGCGAGGTGGCGGCAGCGGCGGGCACTAGAGTACCATGGCCAGACCATAGCATCCCCGGCTCCCGTGGGGGACCCCTGACATGGGTTCTCGGAATGATCCGCAGGGGGACTTGGGTAGAGGGAATGGGTGGGCGGGTAGAGCTATGGGGCAGCTGCAGAGATCGGTGAGTGGCTGCAGTCAGAGCGTGGGACGAGGCGAGAGTCAGTGACGAGGGTGAAGGGTGAGGACTGAGGGACCACGGCGAGGGCTGAGGGACGACGGCCAGGGCTGAGGACCGCGGCGACGGCTGAGAGACAGTGGCGAGGGCTGAGGGACCGCGGGGACGGCTGAGGACCGCGGCGAGGAGGGCTGACGGACCGCGGGGGGTGGGGAGCTGAGGGATTGTGGCGAGGGCTGAGGGACCGCGGTGAGGGCTGAGGGACAGTGGCGAGGGCTGAGGGACAGTGGCGAGGGCTGAGTACGCACGGCGAGGCCCGGGTCAGGGGAAACACGGCGATGAGCCGTCATTAGTGGAGCGCGGCCGTCGCGTCGGCGGGGTGCCCTGATCGATGGGTGTCGACTGAGTGATGCGACTCTGGGCGGCGGCGGTGACCGATTGGCGCGCGACGGACCGCCGCCGCCGCCGATCATGACTACCGACCAGTGGCTGGATCACCGGCCAGGGATAGAATACGGACAGCCGACCACTGAATGTTGATCATTGACTTCTGATCACTGGCCGCTGTCTGCTGACTGCTGACCAACCACCCCTTGAGGACTAATCCTAGCTGAGTTCAGCGGTGACCCTCCGATCTCTAATGTCCACTCAGACGGCGAGACGATGCTTCCCAGAGTCCTACAATGTGCCTGCAATAGTGAACGAGGCCGACCAGTGCAGCTAAGATAGTCCACTCTGCAGAAAACCAAACTCACCAGTGGATAACCCTTCAGTCCGGGCAGCTTTACTAGTTAATAAAAACAACTTCCAGTTCCTGCTCATGATTTCTGCTCATCTTTTCGGCTCTGCTATTTTGGTATCCGGTCGCTTATTACCGTTTCCACCTCCTATTGCCGCAGTTTTCAGTTTCTTCTGTCTGGTTACCGACCACCACCACTCCGAGCGGCCAGACCACTTTGACTAACGCCAGACCATTGTGACCAACGCCAGACAACTGTGACCGACCGACACCAGACCACTCTGACCAAGCGGCCAGACCACTCCGACCGACGCCAGACCACTGTGACCGTTCGGCCAGACCACTATCATCGACGCAAGGCCACGCGAACCGTCCGGCCAGACCACCCTGACCGACCGACCGGCCACTCTGACCGAAGCGAGGCGACCCTGACCAACGCCATCGTCTTTGATACCGATCCGTTCGGGTGCCATGCTAACAATGACGCAGTGGCGCGCTCCGTCGGTCGACGGCAGAGAACGAGAGTGGGAGAGAGAGAGAGAGAGAGAGAGAGAGAGAGAGAGAGAGAGAGAGAGAGAGAGAGAGAGAGAGAGAGAGAGAGAGAGTAGCGGAGCAGGAGCCAGTGTCGCTGACGATGATGGAAAAGGACTGAGTGTCGAGAGAGGAGGTCCCGACGGCACTGGATGCTAGGTAGGGTGGTCAGAGGCACTCTATGTGAGGGAAAGCGAACGAAGGTGGACTGGGTGAAAGGACAGTTCCTACTCACTTATCCGCGGGCTACAAGTGAGTAGGAATCCTGTCTGTCGATGTTGGAAAAATTGCATTCAATCTTCTGACTAGTATTTTGTTGTCACGTTTTTTTTTACATCGTGTTGGCCGTTGGGACTCCCGGACAGTTCCAGAAGGTAACTGTCAACAGCGAGGGATGAACGGCGTCCAGTGGGGTAGTCGGAATGGAAAATTGAATATTAAATGAATGGCAGTTCGGTGAAGCTGAATGTTGTTTAAGTGGTTTCAATTAGTCCGAAATACGGCGTGTTCTCCAAATGATATTCTCTCCTCCATGGACATGAATTAATAAAGCAACTCATTTAGGGTTCACTGAATCCGTGTGAACTTTGGTCACGCCGTTGCTGAAGCTTTCCCAGCTGTATTAGCAGTCCACCGTTATGAGTTCATTTCAGACTTCTGAGCGGCCGCGGTCACTTTAGTAATACCAGCTTGCAGAACGGCCAGGCCACTACGGGCACTACGGCGCTTTGCTCCTGCCCGGCATCTCGTTACAGTCTCTGGGAACTTGAGCCGTCTGGGTAAAGTGGGACTACCTCTTCTAGTAGGGAAGGGGTTAGATGCTCCAGAGATACTGTCGTCTGTCCTCCACGGGACGGTGGATAGCCTCCTGAATGGTATGTACGACAAAAAAGGGCGCCTCGAGGCCTGGAGCGTTCCGCATCAGCTGTGGTGTTATCTGTGATAACAGGCCGCAGAGGCGTCCGATCCAAAACGACGCTGACATGTTGACGCACCGCGGGAGGTCAGGGCTGGAACAACAGGACTGCCCGGGTCATACCAACAGCTAAACGGATCACATCCTAAGGTCGATCGGCTGGGTAGCTGTAACTTGTAGTTGAAGCAATATATCTTGTGGAATGCGGACCGTTCACAGGAAGCATAGGCGTAGGAACGTTTTCGAAAGTGGGGGGGCCAGGGTCCCAGAGGTCCAAAACCTAACCTACCCCCAAAATCCAATTTCTCCTCGGATTTCGGCCACTTTGTTTTCGCAAACATGCTCAGAGGTAAAACAAAAACGAAACAAAAACAAAAAACAAAATTGGTTAAAATTTCAGGGAGACTCCCGTCCATAAACTCAAACTGATGGACGCGTTCACCAGTCCTCCGCAGCCGTTGGCACCCTTGCAAATTCCAGAGGCATCCAGCAACTTTTTCATTACGAGCAAGCGTGAAACGTGCAAAGCGAGTCTTTTCAATATACCTATAAAAATCAGCATGAACGGCCCAGCTAGGCTCAGCCAGGCCTATAACGTTTTTAAGAGGTTTTATATCAGCGACCACTGCAACTGGGCTGTTTGACTATCAGAGGCCGGTGTGGGACTTTTAGAGGCCGGTCTGGGCCTTCAGAGGCCAGTTTAACCCCACGGCCCGGACCTATAGGTTTTCTACATACGCGCCGGCCGAGGGGGCGGGGGGCGGGTACGACTCCCCTCGCCGTTTCACCCCAGGTGGAGCTAGCGCGTCGCGGAAAAAAGGAGCGTGTGCGCTGTTACGAGACGCAGAGATCAATACCCGATTTTAAGGTCCTAGGTCAACCGGTGACCTCTGAGGTCAGGTCAAGTGCCTCAAGGCACGGTTCCGTTTTTGGTGAATAACTTCGCAAAAAACGGCCGCAGAGCCGCGATTTTGCCAGCATCGTGTTCGCCTCTCTCAGGCGCGTCGAATGATATATTTTCGTTTGGGTGAGGTAAACTTAGGGTGTTGACCTCGGGTCACGGTCAGGTCAGCGCCCCCAGGTCACGAAATTGGCCGAAGGAGGTCATGTCGCATATCATTCGATTCGGCAGGTCTTCTTGAGTCCATTGGTGGCTTTTCCGACTCGCTAGCTCAATTTGATCGGTAGTTATTAACGAAAAACTAATAAGACCCTTATAACTTCATAAATGACGTCGCGCAAGGTCAACTGCTCAACATTGCAAAAGTGACGCATCGAACCTTGCAAGGAGTGCATGAAATCACGATTCGGTGTGCTTGAGATAGTTGGAGATCGTTCCCGGCGCCAGAAAAAAGTTTTCAGTTTATCCCCATTGACTTATACCTAATGGTGAGGTCACGAAAATGACCTGATCTCATATAACCTTTAGGAAAAATCCGAGATATACAAGTTTTGAGAAACCTATTGGATACTAGGTCCTTCAAGGTTCATTTCCCTGTGAAATCTCCTCTGGCAGTGAGGGCGTTGCGAAGTTGCGACATCTGAAGACCGTGCAGAGGTTCACTTATGACCTCATGGGTCAGTGACCTGATCTGACTCGAAAATGCGGTTGGTGTCAAAAGATCCCGCTTGATTCAAATGTCAGGTATGCCAAGCTTCAGCTCTCTATCGCCGGCGTGTTCGGAGCTATCGCGAAAAAAACTATGGAGGGGCGGCACCCGCCCCCCCCCCCCTCGGCCGGCGAGGGTTAAGGCCCTCAGAGACCCAGTACAGGGCCTGCAAAGGGCAGGATGAGACCTTTAGATGCCGACTTGGGCCATCAGAGGCTAATGTGGGTCCTTACAGCCTTAGAGGTCAGTGTAAGGCCCTAAAAGACCGGCATGGGCCGGCGTTGGACGCCTAAGGCCAAGATGGACCCTCAGAGGCCGATGCGGACCCTAAAATGCCGGCATCGGGTCTTCAGAATTCAGTGCGGGGCCCTCAGAGGCACTTAAAGGTTAGTCTTGGGACCCCACATACAGAAATGAGGCCACCAGAGGCCGGTGTGAGGCCCTCAGACGCCGGCTGGGCCCTTGAGGCCGGTTTAGGGGCTCTCAAATGAGGTCAATGTGGGTTCTCAGCGGTCAACGTGTGCGCTTGACCGCCACTGAAGGGCCCTCCGAGATCAGTGTGGGACCCTCAAAGACTGGTTTGGGAGCTGTTAATAGCTAGCATGGGATTCTTGAGCCTCGTGACAATCGAATAAGGGCCAGAGCCCCATACGCCCATGGGGGCCCATTGGCTGTTTGGGGGGCCAAATGATATGATGGCCCCCTGATTAGCCTTTGGAGGGGGGGGGGGAGGGCATGGCCCTGATTCCCCCTCTGCGACCGCCACTGCACTGAAAGTGGAAGGGGGAGGGACAGGTAGAGGCACAGACATTGCTGGCTCCCAGCCTGTTTGAACCAAGGCGGAGGCACGGTCACCCTGACCCCCAGCTAGTACGCCTTTGACGAACTATGCCGACCCCAAGCAGATCCGGTCAAGCGTTGGTCGTTTGTATACGCATTCTCCTGCACCGTGCTAGTATTGTCTAATACTTTTTCAGTGCTCGCTGTCCGCGCCTCGTACTCAACAAAATGCTGTCACCAAGACTCATAGTCTTATCTCCAGTCTCTGATATGGTTTCCTTCATTGAGTGAAGGAAATTGCGGTCAATAACGCTGTAGAAACAAAAGGGAATCTTCATTAACAAGCTGAATAGTTGTCAAGTTACCGGGTGGTAGGTACAGACAGACACTTAAGTCAGCAAAAAGTGGGGGGGCCAGTTAACATTGCTGGCCCCCCCACCTCCGAAAGTGGGGGGGCCATGGCCCCCCCGGCCCCCCCTGTTCCTACGCCTATGACAGGAAGCCTCAAGCTTTGCCAAGAAATAACGGTTCGATATGATCATGTGCCTACCCGGAAATCAAAGCCGGATAGCTGCATATGTAGGTCTCAGACGCACGCCGCGTACATCAAAGAAGGTGCAGAGACAAGAGACTGCGAACAGCCGGGCTTTGATGAAATAATGAATACTTTGATGACGTGGTTCTGTATAGATTAAATCAATTTTGCCAAGATGAGGCACCGAAAAGAGGAACTAATGAAATGGTTTCATCAAAGACGTCAACTTTGGTAATTTGGCGAAGACAAACTTTTCCTATTCCCGATGCTAGGCCACTGTAACCAAATGTCAATTCATTGGCCGTTGATTACGCATCCCCAGCTTGGCGCATTATTAACTTTCTGTTTAGTTTATTTTACAGATGCTGGTCGCTCATGTGATTTTGTCGCCTTGTTCGCAGACACAACGATTTTCCGTGGAACGCGCGACGGTTCGTGTACAACAAGCTGCAGAGCGTGAACCTGACGTCCGACCTGCGGCACGTCAGGCCGTGGAACGAGAGCGTCTGGTCGCACACGGATCTATTCCGGCTCCGGGAGGGCATGGTCGGCGGCCAGGTCAGTCACGGGGAGGGGAGGAGAGGGAGGAGAGGGGAGGGGTCAGGTCTCAGGTCTCAGGTCAGTCGCGGGAAGGGGTACTAACAGAAAAGTGCAGACACTGAGCCAGTCTTGCAAGCATGCAGGTCACCTGAACAGGTGAGTTCCTATATGCTATTTATCTATCGCATTTGCCAGCAAGTATAGTTCACATTTGCTAATTTTTATTTTTGCAGCCATGGGTGACCTACTGCCTGGTGACCTATCACGATTTTCGTCCAATCATTTCACAGCAACCTTTGCCGACCATCCAATAACCGCCTAGTTAGCGGCTTAAACTTCGTGGGTTTTGATTTATTTCTAACTGACGTCAAATTGAATAGAGCCAACAGGGACTGGAACACAAACCGTAAAATGCCATATCATATGTAACGCTACCCGGACCTAGTTACCCACGATTATGCGCAGCAAGCACGATCCACTTGCTCTCGGCATCTCTGCCTCCGCAGGCGGCGGGAATGCGCTGACGGATGACGTGCAGTGGCCGTGGGTGAGTGGTCCACATTCAGGGCAGTGTGGCTCAGTTGACACTGATTTCCCGGTCCGCTGGGTAGAGCCCGGGGCGAGCCTCGTGGGTCGTCCGTCCTCGTCCATCGTCCGCGCTCCTTTCGGATAATGTTGGACGACGCTCGGCCTCGCCCGCCCCTCCGATGAACTATGCTGAAGCAGCTTGTCCTAGTTGTTTCTCGCTGGTATTCACTCATGAGGCTGTCGCAGCTCTTCCCACTGAATGAACTCTGAATGTGATGGAAAGGTTAACATCAAACTCGCATGAGAAAAAAGAAAGGTACCTCACCTAAGAAAAATGAGCTTTATCTTTTGATCTTTTTTTCGGCGTTTCATCATCTCCTATATCTTTCATGCTCATAGACACGTGTGCCGTTCAACTTCACAGTTCTATTTTATGCTCCCATGAATTGACTCCACTATAGGTACATACCTACCAACTTCCCTGGTCATGAATGAAGGAATAAACGAACGAATGAATTCCTCTTTACGAATGAAATGTCATGCAGTGCCATATTTGAAAGTAACTGTATGTCTGTATGGTTCCTTTGGCAGGACAGCATTTGACCCATAGAGACGTCCCGATTGAATGCCCACACTGTCGGTCCCATGTGGTAGATTATGTATTATGGCCTCGTCGGAAGGCAGTCGCCATCTGTTCACTGCCCCAAATGGATTAATTCCGAGAACTGTAGTCAGCCGCAGACTTGTAAGCGATTCAAAAAAAATCAATCAATTCAATCACGACTCACTTGATGAAATGACCGATTCAATCATAACTCAATCAAACAGTCCTGATTTTCCAAGCGATTCAATCACGACTCATGGACCTTGTGGTTCAACTCAATCGCGACTCGTCCCATTATCAGTGATTCAGGGAATGACTCAACTCATGATTCAACTCAACGCGATTCAATCAACATGTTATTTATAATATATACATATGTGATATCAATTTAAGAAATTTTTGGAAACTGATACCAAACTGATACCAACCAAATACACTGGGAGAATACCAAAAAACATAGAAAAGTACTAAGTCTATACCGAACTCAACAAAATGGTAGGTATTCATATAAATATGGTGTAAAGATGATAATTTAAGTACAGAATACACAAGTTCTGTTACAAATGAAGCTACCAGAGGACTTATAAATTTATTCATCTGCCTGACGCAAAAGGAAACATATGCAAAATTTCACAGAACACTACCACATATTATTATCAGCATCTTCGAAAAGGACCGAAATTTGCAAATCAATTGTGACACCCAAACTAAAATAGCTGGTGATCAGCCATATAAAAAAATATTGATTGATACTTTATGAAGCAGTGGTAAAGCAGGTAAAGTATTACACAGGACTAGACATTTTCGGCTCGCTACAAGTTTTGTTTACTAGGCATCAAGACTACGGATTATGGACACTTACGAAGCTATTCAATAGTTACATAATATAAATTTGAATGCTCTCATGATAAAACTACCTCAACCATCATATCTTCAAGGATAAAAAACAATTCCAAGCCCCCCACGACACCAAACTTCATACGAGGCGGAGCTTTGTAATGGCCTGGCTACACTATGCGTTTTCTGCGTGCGTTTTTTGCTTGTGCGAGTTTGCGTGATTTGCGTTATATGGTTCTAGAAAGAAACGATACTTCGTTTTTGTTGTATTTTTTATAAAAAAAAACTTTTAATTATCATAAAGGCTTTATTAAGTTTTATATAATATACACAAAACACGCAAACTCGCCAAAAACCCACGCAGAAAACGCATAGTGTAGCTAGGCCTTTATACGCATGCGCTAAGTGGGCAGCCATCTTTTATTCAGCAGCAGACCTATACAAAATGCATAGTTTATATTTTTAGATTCATATTTATGTATGCGTGTAAGTGTAAAACATTTTTTTATTCTGTCCAATTTATTTAAGAAAAAAAAAATTATCGAACAGTAAAAATATAAATTGGCTTGGCTATGTATTCAGCCCAGCACTAGGTAGTTGTAGCGTATATTGACGCAGCTGCGACATAAAAGCATATTCTGCGTGGTTTGCATGTGGCAAATATTGCGAGCAGTCTGGCAAATCTCAAATCCAAATTTAGCATCGAATGCAAAACTGTTAGCGGTCCTCAAAATTAGAAAGCGAAGAACATCAAACGGATAAAGATTGTTTGTTGAGCTATGAAAACAATAGTTTTTGGGTGATAGTGGAGGTGAAGTGAAGGTGGTTGAGTTTTTAATACCTAGTAGGGTATGTATCTACTTTTCGCCATTGTATCTTTACTTTTGTGTAATTGAGAGCCACGGCAATATGTGACATCTATTAATGCTCGTAAGCCAAGGTATTCCAATTATTTATGTTGATAGGTAAACGCTGATTCTGCTGGGAAATGTAAGGTGAGTTAGAAGACCATGGGTTAGATCAAGCAATTTATGACCCTTAGCCCAAAATCAAATCAGTAACTAAGGTTACCTACCAAATTATAATGTGAACATAAATTGTGTATTCATCAATATGCTTTGCCTGCTCACAAATGTCCTGATGAAACAGGGTATTAAAAATATAAAGATTAACATAATATCTTAAACATGTGTGTTGAGCAATGTGCGCCTGCTTAGGTACTGCTATTGTTAACTTGATTACTATACTGATTTTAGGGCAATGGAAAGAAACTTTACATGCATTTTTTCATCTTCATCCATTGACATATATGTATAATTTTGTGTTTACAGTTTGATTAAAAACTTTAAACATAATTTTTATGGTTTTTCAATTATGATAGCGGTGCGCATTTATAATACTGACAAAATACCTAAAAATGTTGCAGTGCATTATGTGTGTCTATGATGCAAATGCCACATATATTTCTACATAATGTAGTACTAAATATGGTCATAGCTTCAATTTCCAGTACATGCTGATTGAATCATTTTGTTGATTCAATCAACTTGAATACATGAGTTGCCGACTCAATCACTTGTAGTTGCCATGTGTGACCGATTCAATCACAACTCATATGGTGACAAGAGGTGATTCAACCGACTCAATCACAGTGAGTCGGCATCTTCAAGCGATTCATGAGAATCGATTCAATCAGAGTTGAATCGCTTACAAGTCTGGTCAGCCGTCTGATAAAGTCTTGAAGACCGTAAAGCCCACAATGGGCCACAGCAGAGTTCAAAAACTTTAACAAGATGAAGTGGGAAAAGTCGCAAAGTGCGTTAACCCCGGCAAAGACAGCTGAAGCACGTTGAAGGGCTTAGTTTCATAAAATTATTGTATTGTATTGTATGTATGGTACTTACGATCGTGGGCGATCCACACATGGGCGTGGCGATTAGGTACTGGTAGTGGTAGGTATACTATACAGCTATACTATGCTTTGTTCTCACTGAGGGCGGCCAAGGTCAATGAGGTTGATTAACAAACGAAGCAGCTTTTCTCTTCTTCTATTTTAAACGGCGTAACCAAAACGCAGGTTCCACCAACAGTGGAATATACCATCGCATAAATGAACCATCAACTACGATCAACTGCAATGCCTCTGGCAAAACTACCTACTTTCAGAAACATAACGTCATTAAATTGTTTACCCTGAAGGCCGTGGTTTTTAGGCCACACCGGCATAATATGACGGTAGATAAATCTGCAAGTCAAAGAAGTCGGCTGCCAGTTAACTGGAGGGTCCGCCAGCTCGCCAACTGTTTAAACAGAGTTGTGCCGCAAGAGCCCGAGGCAAGCCTGGCGCAGGTGCCTTCGCATACAGTGTGGCGGAGCCTGGCCGATGTGTCGTCATTTAGTTACAGGGCTGATGAAATCAAATGATTTTTCACGATGGAAAACACGCCACATCTACGTGCATCCATAGTCATGATTGTTGCCCCCCCCCCCCCCAAAAAAAAATGCAACTCCGAGTCCGAGGTGAGGGCTTGGAGATGAACGAACTACAATATATTTGAGCAAATTTTTTCATGAAAACTATCACAAACCTCTCCTTCGCCCTATTATGATGCATTAATTATTTCCCAAGTTTTTGTTTTCAATAAGACGTGTAATCATTAGCCATCCTTTGAAGCTTTTAATCATCGAGGCCTCGCGAGGCATAAAAGATGAACTCTGAGACTTCGCAACTTGTTGATCTGGCCATTGCTGAGCTGCCTTTCAGCACGAAAGCATCAATTTATACTGGACATTTATTTAAAATCAATAGTGTTCCCGATCAGGGAAGCATAGAGCAGCATACGATTTGAATTTATTAGTCCAAACATCCATTTAATGATCACAGATGATGGAATAGTAGCAGGTCGGATGCTCTTTATTTATTTATCTTTTTTTAACGACTTGTGCAGCATTTCACCGTGCCGCAATAGGCTCTGAAACCCCGTTGAGATCCAACGGCGCGGGCCATTTTTGCTCAGCCAACTTGGCCACCGAAAAAAACTCGCCGCTT